CAGAGCCCAACGCAGGGCTTGAACTCATGAAACCGTGAGATCGTGACCTGAGCCGAAACCAAGGGTTGGATGCCTAACCAACTAAGATGCCCGGGCGCCCCTAAATCTTTGTTTCCTAATGCAGAAACTGATCATGTCAGACTCTGTAGTCTGTCTTGGTGTAGGGGTGTGGGGGGTGATGTAAGAGAGAGAGACCTGTCAGAATGTCTTAAATGCTTTGAAATGGACTTTTTTGTGGATGAGATGGCACTAAATAATTGGAGAATTAACTGTGACGGAATGAATAAATACAAGTAAGTTAAATAAAAAAAACAACTTCAGAAATTCCTATCAGCTCACTAATGGGCAGTTGGCATTTTAGCTGTTTTCTAAGGCTAGGAAAAACTCAAGAGAAAGCACAGCTTTTAGAAAGGCGTATGAGTGCCCAAGTCACCTTATTAGCGAGGCATATGGCAGTTCCTAGCCACTTAAGCATGTCATTGCTTTGGTTTCTTCTTTTACTAAATTCAGAGCGAATTGCCAACAAAGCACGAAGGCTCAAAAATGACACCTTGTATTACCCTAACAAGGCATTATGGGTTATCCAAGAATGTGCTGGATATTTATAGCCTGCTGAAAATCCCTGCCTGCACTGTCTCTGAGGCCCAAATACAAAGCCCCTCCATCTTAATGGCATCTCTTGTAACCTGTAACTCATAAGTTAGACAAGCAAAATGCACAGTGCTGGCAGATTCAGGATATTCCTGAGCTTCACAGATAAAGGAGAAGTCAGAGAGAAATTGAACTCTGCCTACCTAGTTGATAGAAATGCCTCTTGAGGCCACCTGACTATGAGATAATTCCTTCTCTGCTGCCGCCCTGGTCTTCACATATCCCATTTTAACCCCAAGTCATTAAGCTAAGGAGCAGAAGTGGATGCAACTGTTCCAGCGATTCTCAACAAGGGGGAGATTTTGCTCCTTTCTATGGGACATTTGGAAGTTTGGACATTTTTGTGTGTCACATTTAGGAGAGGTGGTGCTGCTGGAGTCTGTTGAGTAAAGGCCAGGGATGCTGCTAAACACGTTACAATGCACAGGACACCCGTTCACACAGCAAGGAATTATCTGTCCCCCTACTGTCAACAGTGAGGGCCTTGAGAAGCTCTGAGTCATTCTAATGGCTCTCAGGACATGACTGGGGACCACGGGCAGATGTAAGTTCTAGATGAGAAGAGGAAAAGAAAAAGGAGCAGGAAGAGAAAAAATAGTGCAGGAAAACAGAGGCATCTGTGGATATGGCAGAGAAAAATAAACAGAGAACCATGGGTAATAGAACCAGGAACAGTTAGGGTTTTTTATAGACACTTAGTTTCCCATTTCCCCTGGGTAGTGCTCCATGAGGTACTGATGTAGTTGCCACACAGGAGCGTGCCTTCCAAAATATTATGAGCTAACAATTTGAGCTGTAAAAAAAAAAAATACAATAGGATTCAAAAGCAGCTGCAAAAAAGGAATCCATCCAGGTGATTCTTCTTAAGAATTAATTTACTTAGGGGCACCTGGGTGGTTCAGTGGGTTAAATGTCCAACTTCAGCTCAGGTCATGATCTCATAGTTCTGGAGTTTGAGCCCCGCATGGGGCTCTGTGCTAATGGCTCCAAGACTGGAGCCTGCTTCAG